TACATGAGGTGAGGCATGACGACTGTGTGCCCGCTCGAGCCCGGGCTCAGGATAATAACAATCGGCCTCACAATGGACTAAAGCGAGTTAATGATCTTGGTCATAAAAATATCTATAACGATTAATAATAGTCCTTATGTTTTTTCATTATAATTATTTTGAATACTTTTTGTAAAACTAATTTAATACAAAATAAAATACAACATGATAAAATTCAATAATAAGGTTTTTGCTAAAGATTAAACAAGTGTATTATTTTAGACTTAAATAACGTTTGGGTCACCATGATCCGTTTTTATGCCCAGACATACACATTGCTCATAATAACAAGCACCATATTCGTAACGCTAAAATAAAGATAAAATAAAATTATAAATTATGAATTTATTTGACAAATTCAAATTTACTTTATTATAAGTGCAGTATGTACTACACAGTGTTTCTTTAACACCATTGAACACAAATCTGCATGCTGAATCACAAGAACCATGTTCAATTAATATAAATATTACTATTAATACCAATGATTTAGTGGTCATATTCATATCCTAAATACTAAATTATATGACAACTAATCTCACTAATATGTGCTCATGAATTATTGTCATCAAAATCTGTTTTATATGTGTTGTGTATTTTTATTTATTCGTTTGCTATAAAAATCTCAAAAACACTTGTTTGATTTAAACGACAAATAAATTCATAGTTTATTCTACATATTATGGTTTGCATTATAACTACATTTAACTTTAAGAATTACAATTGGTTATTAATTGCATTCCTGTGCACTAGATGGCTATATAAACAGTGTGAGACACTGAATTATTGCATTTTATTACTTTATAAAACTTATTATTTTATATAAGTCTTGTAAAATTTAATAAATAAATTATTTTTAAAACATTGTAAAAAATGACTAAACGACTAATTTATTTTATTTATAATTGTTTTTGCTTAAAATGTTCTATTCATATAATCCTGGGATCACCATGAGCATTGATTTCACCTTCGCAATGACATTGTTGATTACGACAAACACCTTCCTCGTGATTCTGTACAACAAAATATAATTATAATCATATATTAATAATATATTTTAAATTTATATTTAAAAATTTAAATCAAACAAAAAATGTTTAAGGATTAAAAGTGTTCATTGAATACCTTTGAAAATACTCAGGAGGTATACTAAAGCACCGGAAATTATGGGACCGGGAGTGTCAACAGCATAACGGCTCGTGCGACCGGTGTGTCCGCGATATCAACTGCTTCTACTGCTCATCGGATAAGACATGTCACAAATACACCAATAATGAACACTTGAATGTCATGTGCGGATACTGGGATGCCATGTATTGGAGCACATGTTACTGGAATATCCGGGTACTGGCCGTGATATCATCCCTCACTTTCGGAGCCCTCCTATTGTTTACAACTATGATCGTATACCTGATGTTTGCCCGGATTCATGAGTGGAAATGCCAGCGCCAGTTGTGGCAACAGCGCCGACACCAACAGTTGGCCGCAGAGGAGATCCGGAGGGCCCACCGCTGGCAAAATAAACACCAGTTTGCCGAGAAGTATGACATATTTGGTGTCAACCCCCAAAAGCCCCCCTCCTACCAGCGTTTCCAATGAATAATTATTAATGTAGTATTACACCGTATTTGAAGTATGCTATTTACAATATGGGTAATACTATAATTATTAAATTTTTTAAATCCTAATCTAAATACGCGATTAAATAAAATTTTTAAAAGTTTAATACTGTATTAAAAATGGTTTGTTTTATTCTACACAATGTAATTTTTAGGATGTTTTAAATAAAAAATGAATTCAAGTATATGAAAACGATAATTATATGAATCCTTTTTAATTATGAGCTCAAGTAATACTTATAAAATTATTTTATTAGTAGTCGGGTAATAGACAAAGTTATGTATAAGCGTTGAAATAGGATTAAATAACACACTAAAAAATTTATTATATAATTTCATTTTACTTTAATGAATTCTTATTTAATAAAATTTATCAAATATTTATGATAATTTTTCAATAATATAATTATAGCTTAAACTAAATTGCATTTACAATAATAATAGCCTTCTTTGTAAAACTTACAATAATTATGTTATTTATAGTTTAAAATTGATAATAATATGAAATAATTATATATAATCTAATAATACAGATATAATGTATCTGTAGTTTCTATTAAATATATATTTAGTAAATAAATAAAGGAATTATTTCCAAAATTGAAAAATTAAGGAAATGTTAAGTTCAGTACACTATTCACAATACAGTATTTAAATGAACAACATACATCATTTCTAATATTTAAACAAAATTAGAAATTGTCAAAATTATTATACATTGACTATTAAAAATTTTAACACAAAATATTATCAACCTAAATAATATCTCGCATAATACCTTAAATACAACCAATTGATTATAACGAGGTTAAACTGTAATTCAAGAAAACAGAGTACATTTAATCCTGTTTTTCGGCTAAACACACGATAACTACTGAATCCATTAAATAATTATCAATACATATCATAATAAATAAAAACCAGAATTTAGTTCAATAGAGCATTTCATACGAGAGAGTGTTGTGTCAAAGAAAAAAGTTCACAAACTTTTTCAGGATTTATAGTCTTTTTTCATTCATAATAACAATTTTCACTGAATTTACAACAAAAAAATAAATTTAACTAAAATTTTGTTTTTAAATGAAGTTTTAATTTATTATTTTAACTTAAAATGTATGCTAAAAACATATATTTTTTGACAATATGTACTGTGGTTATGGTAAACACCGTGTGTTTAGTGTTATGCCAATCATCTCCACAAAACTCATCCAGCAATCAATGGAATGGTAACCCATTTAATGAGCGATCGTTTATAGTGTACAGACCACAGACACAGGTGGTTGAGAACAAGGGTCAGGAAAAGGCCAGCATGTGTCCCATCACTAGGTCCGCACCGGGATTTAAATCCTTCCAACAGGTATATTTAAATTTGCATTGTTTTAAGTTACTCAATAATCCAATATCATCGGGAACTATATATCAAATACAGTATCATCATTTTAATTATGGATAAAGATTAGTTTTATTGGCATTTTATTATAATCAAAGTCAAATTTATTATTTATTGATATTGATTTAAAAATCAGATGAAACTAAAGTTTATGTTAAAAACTTTTAACTCAACTATTTATTTACATATTATTGTACTTCAAAACGTATAGTATGAGGGCTTATGGTTTAAGCGGTGGCGCACACGTGTCCGACCGGACGAACCGTTTTTTAAATGTTCATTCATTCACTACGTATACGACGGACACAACAACATATTCATCCTGGACAACCTACAAAATAATGCGTTAATAATAGCACATAAATAAAAACGAGTCAATCTATTAATAAAATACTATTTCTCAATAACTATAGCACTAATGAGTGGAAGAGACAAAACGCTACGTCCGTACTGTTCCCCAATAGCCCGGCCTCATGGACCAGTACTTTGCAAAGTATTTATTTCGTTTACCTTGCTTATTTGTAATTTTAAAGATATTATTTATTAATAGGTGGGGCTACGTTTGACACCCACTTGCTGTATTTCGATGGTGACCTGGGTATATCATTGTTATACAGCTGCGCCAATACCAGGAATGGACACAGCGGTGGGACATATTTAATATGATTATAATATATTGGAAATATAATTTTTTTATTGCAAATCAAATGTGCAGGTATCGGAAATATCTACACCCGATCACCGGACACCCCACTGTCCAAAACAATGCTCAATCACTTATATGATGTCTACTTCCAAAACGGCATTTACGATGTCCTACCACTACATGAGGTGAGGCATGACGACTGTGTGCCCGCTCGAGCCCGGGCTCAGGATAATAACAATCGGCCTCACAATGGACTAAAGCGAGTTAATGATCTTGGTCATAAAAATATCTATAACGATTAATAGTCCTTATGTTTTTTTCATTATAATTTTTTTTGAATACTTTTTGTAAAACTAATTTAATAAGTTACAAAATAAAATACAACATGATAAAATTCAATAATAAGGTTTTGCTAAAGATTAAATAAGTGGATTATTTTAGACTTAAATAACGTTTGTGTCACCATGATCCGTTTTTATGCCCAGACATACACATTGCTCATTATAACAAGCACCATATTCGTAACGCTAAAATAAAGATAAAATAAAATTATAAATTATGAATTTATTTGACAAATTCAAATTTACTTTGTTGAAAGTGCAGTATGTGCTACACAATGTCTCTTTAACACCATTGAACACAAATCTGCATGCTGAATCACAAGAACCATGTTCAATTAATATAAATATTACTATTAATACCAATGATTTACTGGTCTTATTCATATCCTAAATACTAAATTATATGACAACTAATCTCCCTGATATGTGCTCATGAATTATTGTCATAAAAATCTGTTTTATATGTGTTGTGTATTTTTATTTATTTGTTTGTTATAAAAATCTCAAAAACACTTGTTTGATTTAAACGACAAATAAATTCATGTTTTATTCAACATATTATGGTTTGCATTAAAACTACATTTAACTTTAAGAATATCAATTCGTTATTAATTGCATTCCCGTGCACTAGATGGCTATATAAACAAGGTGAGACACTGAATAATTGCATTTTATTACTTTATAAAACTTATTATTTTATATAATTCTTGTAAAACTTAATAAATTATTTTTAAAACATAGTAAATAAATGACTAAACGACTAATTTATTTTATTTATAATTGTTTTTGCTTAAAATGTTCTATTCATATAATCCTGGGATCACCATGAGCATTGATTTCACCCTCGCAATGACATTGCTGGTTACGACAAACACCTTCCTCATAATTCTGTACAACAAAATATAATTATAATCATATATTAATAATATATTTTAAATTTATATTTAAAAATTTAAATCAAACAAAAAATGTTTAAGGATTAAAAGTGTTCATTGAATACCTTTGAAAATACACAATAATAGGCACATTTAGGCACCTTTTTGCCATCACTTACGCCACGACATACACTATCGGTGCCAATAAATGGACTAATATTTATTAAACATAGCATACAAACTATCGTAATTATGGAGTAAATATTCATAATATGTTTTGAAATTAATTAAAATGATAAACAAGAGTTATTATATAAACCAATGTTTTTTAGCAAAAGGAAATAAGTTTTCATATATTTATACATAATATTCAATATTTATGTGCAATTGCAATTATTTGTAACATGTGTTTTTGGGATTTTTACATCATTTAGACAATATATCATTACTCTCTCTCTCTCTCTCTCTCACACACACACACACACACACACAAACACCCCGTTCATAAAATAATATTTATGAAACAATCAAACGCTAACGAGTAAGAATTAAGCACAAAAGAAATTATATCTAAAAATTCCCATTACATTAAGTTATACTGATTATTATTCATAAAAATATTAATAACTTATTCAATATCTTAAGTGAATATTTTATGAGTGAGAAAATACCTCAAACACAATGCATACGTTTTGTTATGTAATTTATAAATTTACTGAAACTCATATGTAATTAAAATCTCATTTGTTTGTATGGGTGATGAGTTTGGGCACAGGTATTATGTTAGAAATGATTGTCACTCATATTTCCTGTCCTTATAAATATTTCGCATAAATAATATTATTAGAAATTTTTTATAATCTATGTATTGTACAGAGGGTTAGACATAATTTTATGTCACGTGAGACAAACACTTAATCTGTAAGTTTAGTTTAAGTATTGTATATTTTATACTCTAGGATACGGTATTTTTATATTTTTGTTTACATTATTAAACTTATTTAATCTTATAATAAATAACCCTCTCATATTGAATAAATGTTGAAATAAATGTTAATGTTAATTTCAATCACTAATCCTAATACAGTGTATTGGAGTAAATAATAAGTAATAGATTACAATGTAATGAATGATTGTCAATAAATTAAGTTATTAAAATTGATTTGTGTATTTCAAAGTTTTATTTTTGTATAATAATAGTTATTGCCTATAGTTTTACTTTAATATTGTCTATTATATCTAGTGTTGACAATGTTTTCTAATGTGAAAATAATTGCTCAAAAGTTTTTTAGCTATATTTTATTCACAATAAAGTATATGAGTAAAATTTCTTTTTAATACATAATTGACAGCAATTCTGTTGAATATGTTTTGTGAAAATTCGTATATAATTATAGCCTTAAAAACAAACAATAAATAAATTTAAATCTCATTTTAGACTCAAAACTATTCGTTAAACAAAAATCTCTGAATTAATGAATAAAACAAAAGTGAAACAAAACAAAAGCAAAACCAAAAAGTGAAAGAAAAATGTAAAGAAAATGTTTTAGTAAATAATTGTAATACCGGTACTCTTATTAAACTTGTAATTATAACGCAATGAATATTTCATACGAATTGAGTTTTAATGAGTTTATGAGAAAAAGTATTTTTATTTTAAATATCATTTTTGTTATGCAAATATAAATTGACAGAAAAAATGAATTCACAATCAAATCATCTCTCTCTCTCTCTCTCTCTCCAATCGACTCAAACATATTGTGTTAAACAGAAAATTGAAAAACTATTCACAATTTATTTTAATTATTTAATAAAATATTTTTAAAGTTATAACCAATTAAACTTTGTTTTAAAGAATAATTCAATTAAAACTTTAAAATTCTATAAAATTAAAAACAATTAAATCTCTCTCTCTCTCTCTCTCTCTCTCTCTCTCACACACTCACTCACTCACTCACTCACTCACTCACACTCGAAATAAAGTTATAGGTTTTAAAATTTTCAATGCAAATCATAATAATTTCCAATAAATATGAACAACTTTTGATAAATACAAATCGTTTTAAATATTGTATTCAATAAAAATCACGTTTTAATCCAAAAAACATATTTAGCAATCTGATAAAAACTATTTGGTTTAGATACAGACAATACAAATAATTATTATTAAACTCAAACAAATATCACAAGACTTTCAATGAACTAGAAATTTCTGAAATTATCAAAAATAAAAATATTAATATTAGAAAATAATCTGATTTGCATATTAATTTTTGGCAATTAATACAAATAAATATATCATATTACTTTACCTAAATTTACTAAATTGTGCAATAACAATTCTATTTTAAATAGTAAATAATATGAAAATTTATAATTATTAAAATAAACTTTTTCCTAATAAAATAACTAAATATTAAGTACATTTTTCCGATACTTCATTAATAATTATTAGCTAACAATTAATTATGCAATAAAATGTATTCTTGGTAACATATAGAACCATAGTTAATTAAAGTTAACAATTAGTTAAAACACATTTTAAAAGCAAACCTTTTCACAAGTTTGAAATTCAGATAAATTCATATATTTTTATTTTGCTTAACCGTTAGATTGCAAACAAATATTCATTAATTACAGTACAAGACATTTAAACAAAAATAAACAAAAAAGTAAAACTTATGCCAAATATTGAGAGATTATTTTATTTAAATATATAGTGTATTGTGCACTATATGGGTGTTGCAATAGTGACCCAACCCTTGTATTAATACTAATAATCAACGAGATATTATCACACATTTGAATCAATATATTATAGAAAATTGGCGATAATTTTATAAGGTGTAATTTTAAACTTTAAATTCAATACATAAAATATAATAAATATTCTGTAATTTGTTATACACTTTTAAGATAAATACCTTGCTTACACCTATGAGCAAAATATAAACTCAATTTTATGAGACATTAATACTGTAATTAATTACTTAATATTTTTTGAATGCGCAATGAATATAAAACAATTGTTTTTATAGTATTTAAATTCATTTTAAATAACTTTTATTTTTTCACACGATTTTCAAGTTTACTGTATTGTAGTACACTTGAAAAGTAAAATAAATTTTTATAGCAAATTAATAATAATATTAAATATATACTTATATCTTACTCCAATAAATTAATTACATACATTGGGTTTTTAATTAAGCGTTAATTTGAATTTTTACCAAAAAACTTTTTTTGTTTTACATTTATTTGCGTATTTATCAGTATTTCATATTTTGTGCCAATAAATAATAATAAAAATAACACATACTGAACAATGTTTAGCAAATTACAATATCTTTGATTTGCAAACTCTTTAAATATAACTTAATTTAAAATTAGATTAATATTTGGTTAATTATTTAATAAAATATTTTTAAAGTTATAACCAATTAAACTTTGTTTTAAAGAATAATTCAATTAAAACTTTAAAATTCTATAAAATTAAAAACAATTAAATCTCTCTCTCTCTCTCTCTCCCCAATTGACTCAAACATATTGTGTTAAACAGAAAATTGAAAAACTATTCACAATTTATTTTCCTCACAATTATTGGCAAATACCACAAAATAAACATTGAATGTATAAAAATGCAGTTATTTTCTAGCAATTCGTGAATACATTTTTTCAATAGTCTCATAATAAAGAAAACACACAAATAAGACCTTGGATTGTTTGGGGGATTTTTTTATGTGTTAGCTTATATTTCTTGTTGCTAT